GAGAGAGGTTGGACTGCAGACAGTATATTACAGGAAATTGGGTATTTTTGCCAATGGCCTTACACTTAAAGCAATGGAAGTTGCCAGTTTATTGGGACAACCATCTGAGAACAGTAAACACAGAGATCGATCGCGGGATTTTGCCCGATTCTCGTACGAGAATCGAGCAGTGTTTGGGCACCTTTAGCATTCTGAAAGTTATGGGCAAATGCACTGTAATAGCATGTCTCAGCAGCTACAGAGAAGCAGTAGGTAAGGATCCGCTAAAAATGTTTCCTGCAATCCTTGAAATGGATATAGCTGACTGAAGGGGATTGTATTTTCCTCAACAAAATAGTATTGAATAGCCAGGACCTTGAAAAGTAGAAATATAAGAATATTTGACATGTTTGTAAAATAGAAAAATCTTCAGTCACCACCTTCTGCTTTGGCTTCCCCTTTTCGTGGTGCATCACGAGCCTTTTCTGCTCTGCGTCTCCTGTGCCTCCTCCTCTCCTTCAGTGCAGCCTTCGCACTAGTGACCCAGGCATGATATGCCAACTACAGAGAGATACGACATATGGGTATTAATGCATGGAAAAACACGGCACTGCTAGATCAAAAACAGGAAGGGTGCCTGCTGATCCATTGATAAAGTAGAAGCCTACCCAAAACAAAAATTTTTTTGCTCTGTATACTGGAATAGTTAGAACCGCTAAGAGGCATTTTATTCTAAGAGGTACAGGAGCACCAGACCAATTTCGAGAGACCAAGAAACATTTATTTTAACATAAAAAGTCAGAATATCAAGCTTAGCAGGCTACTAATCACCAGATACTATGATAGAATAACATCCCATCTCCAGCCAAACGTTTTTATTTTGCTTTGAATAGATGGCTGTAGGTCCTCAAATCATCTCTGAATTTGTGCCGACATTGTCCTTCCTTCTGGAGGGTGGCTGCTTTTGTTCTGTGTGTGTTGTAAAGTAGTCACCGCTCCAAGCTATCTCCCGTGATGGACTACAATCTCACATTTAGTTTACTAATGATTGTAATCCATCACAGGAGTGAGCTTGGACCGGTGACTACTTTACAACACACACAGGGACCATGGCGAGCAAAAGTAGCCACCCTCCGGAAGGAGGGACAGTGTCAGCACCAATTCACAGATGATTTGAGGATCTACAGCCAAGTGATAAACAAATAAGATACATTTTTTTTAATAGTTAAAGTACTTGAATGCATTTTTAAGATTTAACGCCTGAGTTTACTGTCACTTTAAGGCCTGGTTCACACCTAGGTGACAGCATTTTAATGCGCGTTTGTGATGCACAGTTGAGCTTTTTTGTATGTTTTATGCGCGTACAGCAAACAGCGCGTTTTTGTGAGCAGATTGTAGCTCATTGATGTTAATGAGATAAAGCGCATAAAATCGCACGAAAACACAGCAAACGCGCGTTTTCAAGCGTTTCCTATTTAGTTAACCACAGTTATCCTCTAAGCACAGCATCGTCATCCTTACCTGGAAGGCACTGTGTTTGCGTGGCTTTAACTCCTCCGAGACAGACTCCTCTTCTTTCTCACTGTCCGATTCGAATAAGAAATAATCCCCCGAATGCAACACTGCAAGCAAAGGAAAAAACATAAAACTAAGCAAAAGCCTAAAGCTGAACTCTGGGACCAGCAAATATCGCCTAAATACAACAAACTTTTTAAAATATGAATGGATCCTAAAGCTGCCTACAGGAACTAGATGTCGGCCGGGCATAAAACAGTGATTGCTGTACAAACATGAAGGTTTGCATTACACAAGTTTGTACATTTGTGCCTGTAGGAAGGGAAAAGAGCGTGCTGCAGGGGCAAATTGATTGTTCCAAGAGATCCACCCCAGCCAATTGATTCTTCTCTAATAAATGCATTGAGGGAGGCTACATACACAGGATTCAAAATACCCAAATCAGTTGAGCATTAATGTCCGTTAGGCACTTTGGAGGACACGGTGTTTGCCTCCATCAGATTACGGCACAGAGTTGTCATGGATGGAGAGAGTTAAGCTACACTATATCCTCCATATATTACTGGGAAGTACCTGAAGCATGATCTAACCACGGGCGGCTCCAGTGGATCTTCTTTTTAGACTTCCTCTTTGCACCATCTTCCTCTCCTGTTAAACAGAACAAGAAACAATGGTCTCAGTAGCAGACATATGGAGAAACATGTCTGTGTCATCCACAGCCACAAACCTAGCTAAGCAAATATCTAAACCCCAGAATGTCATATATTGCAGCTTGCCAGTCCTTAGACACTGAACAATTGTTTTCAATTTGACCAGCACAACTGCCCCTTATACACCTAAAAAGGTCCCCACAGACAGCTACAATTCCTACTGAATCAACCAAAATTCGAGCCATGGGTGGCCCTGCAAGCAGACTGACCAGTGACTGCTTCCCATCAGATGCAGTCACTGTTTGGTATTTAATAGCCGGCAGCAGAGATTCCTTTACCAATGCTGTTAGCGTGGATGGGGGAATCCATTGATTTTTTTTTCAACAGTTAACAAGGTTAGTTGTGCTTTGTTAACCTATATGCCAAACAATCATTAGGCCAAATTTTTCTTCCATATATTAGATTTTTTTCCATTTATTCATCCATAAATAAGAAAATTCATTAGCAGCAGCTAGCAACAAGCAGGCTGAGTATCCAGCTCTTCTTTAACAGAGTATACTAGATACACATTTATGCCTTTTTACCCCTATTTTTAATAGACTTTACCCAAATACTGATATCATTTTTTACAATGGTTAATTTCAATAATGAATCCAGATCACCAGATTCACCGATCAGCCATAACATTATGACCACCTCCCTAATATTGAGTAGGTCCCTCTTTTGCCACCAAAGCAGCCCTGACCCTGGTGTGGGCTCCACTAGACCGCTGAAGGTGTGCTGTGGTATCTGGCACCAAGCCGTTAGTAGCAGATCCTGTAAGTTGTGAGGTGGGGCCTCCATGGATTGGACTTGTTTTTCCAGCACATCCCACAGATGCTCGATTGGATTGAGAACTGGAGAATTTGGAGGCCAAGTCAACACCTTGAATCCATTGTGTTCCTCAAACCCTTCTTGAATAATTTTTGCAGTGTGGCAGGGTGCATTGTCCTGCTAAAAGAGGCCACTGCCATCAGGGAATACTGTTTCCATGAAGGGGTGTACTTGGTCAGCAACAATGTTTAGGTCGGTGGTACGTGTCAAAGTAATATCCACATGAATGGCAGGACCCGAGGTTTCCCAGCAGAACATTGACCAAGCCTCTGCCGGCTTGCCTTCTTCCCATAGTGCATCCTGGTGCCATCTCTTCCCAAGGTAAGTGACACATGATGTAAAAGAAAACAAGATTCATCAGATCAGGCCACCTTCCTGCATAGCTCCTTCATAGCTCTGTGGTCCCCAGGCACCTAGCTATCAAAATCTGACCCTTGTCAAGGATGCTCAAATCCTTACTCTTGCCCATTTTTTCTGCTTCCAATACATCAACTTCAGGGACAAAATGTTCACTCGCTGCCCAATATATCCCACCCACTACCAGGTGCCATTGTAACATATAATCAATGTTATTCACTTCACCAAGCAGTGGTCATAATGCTATGTCCAATTGGTGTACATCGCCCAACAAAGTATTTCTTTACATTTTTGCCCAAACACTTACAGCCATCATCAGTTTCCAAACAGTTCTAACTCTCTCAGCCCCACTTCCCTGACATTTCCTTTCCAGTAAAAGATCACAAAAGAGGGCAGTCTCCATCAGCTGCCCATCTACTAGCTTGGAGGAGGGGAAGGGAGAAGTAGGGAACAGAGGAGGGGGGGTGTCTTGTCTTGCTGTGCCAGTGTGGAGACACACACGATAGCACACACAAAGGTGTCTCCATAGGACCCTGCAAGGAAAAGGAGCCACCCTAAAACAGGATATCAGGACCAGTGCTCAGGGAACCAGCCGATTCTGCAGGAAACTAAAGCGTTTAAACATAAAGGATGAGCATCCATTGTAGGTAATTTATTCCGTATTTGAAACCACTTAGAAACCTTCTGACTTTAATATCACTTTATGTGAGGACTGACCTGTTACCTCCCGCAGAGTCTCGCGCTGTTGGGTGGTCTCCTTGTGCAGTGCCGAGCCCAACGGCTGCTGTGTGTGGTGTCCGCTTGTTCCATCGTCCAGAGCTGTACAGGAAGAGGCACGCACGAGCACTGGACCGACATTTAAAGGGACAGTGCTCGCCCCTCCAAGGAAGTGGTCCGCCCCTGGAAATGACATCATCTCATTGCCAACAGGTATATAAGCAGAAAGGGTGAGTCATTCTGTGCTTGGTTATTGTTAAGCTTGTTCTTAAGAGTGCTTGGCGTTATACCTGTTTCTGCTTACTATTACCGACCCCTGGCCGGTTCCGTGACCCTGATACTTTGCTGCCTGCCCCGACCTCTGCTACGTTCAACGACTACGATTCCGGATTGTGATTTTGCTACCGTGCTCTTGGACTGCCCCTGTACTGGCTACCACTACGCAGGAGATTGTGCGTTATCCTAGTCTACTTGAGTAGAGGTACCATTCGTACTGGCAAGTCCCCCGCGTCTGGGCTCCTACCATCACCAACCTGATACTTTAATACTGAGATTCTTTCTACCAAGTAGAGGCCATTTTTTTTAAACATACTATATGGCACTACCACTGCTTTAGGGAAGGAAAAAATGGCACATGTCCTTTAAATGAATTAAAAAACAAAAGTCAGGAAGAGGAGAACCTGGTCACATGGCCTGTCAAAGACTCATCACTGCACTCTGCATATTATGAACGACATTCAGTGGGCATTGTGCAATAAGACTAGACTGTGCGTTGGAGAGCGGATTTATACGTCAGCCCCTTAGTGGCGCCTTCTGTTTTCAGAGAAGTGTACCTGTATCCTCCAGGACATTCTTACTCTTCCTCCTCTCTTGGTGGTAACGCTCCTGTTTTGCGCTAATTCTCTCCATCCTGTAGAAGACAAAAGATTTCCCACCAGTGATCTAGACCTGCCATTTTTGCTCATTTGAATTTCAGTAAATTGCTTCTACAATACAACTGAGGGAGGTTTTCCCTCTCACATAATACTGTGGATCCAGCACATTATTGGTAGTTTGTTTCTAGAGAAAGGTGCAGATGAAGGTGAAGGTTACAAGCAAATACAGAAATAAAATCCATGTGTAATAGATGAGGATTAATGTGCCGCATGTACATGGTGGCAGGAATGCTCGCCTATTACATATGCAGACTTTGCGTTGTGCTTTGCAGTGTGGTCGTGCTTTATCCCACAATGCACATTTACGAATCAGCTGAAAACAATACACTCCTTTGTGATTGGTATCTTATCTCAGCAGTTGATAAGCAGTTAGACATGAGAGTCATTGGGGGTGATTTACTAACCTAAACACACGCATGCACCAGGTGTGTGTGATTTTTACACAGCAAAACGTATTTATCAACCAAAAAGTCTCTAAAAGCATATTTCCACTAATGCCATATATGGAAAAATCATGCACATGATGCATATATAATGCTGCTTTACAGTTTAGACAAAAATGGTTAGCTCATGCATTTACATTCCTGCATTCATCAACGCAAGCAACACAACATAGAGCTAATTTACACAAGATCACCTTGCAAATTCGTGCTTGGCTTTGCACAATACACCTGCTGGGTGTGTACACACTACAAAGGTGTTTAGATTCCACCCATAGATCATGCTGGGAGGGAACACACTACAGAGGTGTATACATGTTCGTGGTGTGTTTATAAGGTTAGTAAATCAACCCCATTGTATAGTTAATCCAGCATTTATTACACTTTTTTTCAGCCATGGTACCCTTTGAAAGTATGCAAAATCTCAAGGCATCCCAGTCTATAATGTAAAAAACAATGTGTGGCCCCTCCAAAATCAATACCAGATCCTTATCCCAGATAGTGGTCTGGTACTGATATTAAGGGTGAACTTACATAGTTACATAGTATTTGAGGTTGAAAAAAGACATTAGTCCATCAAGTCCAACCTATAGGATCTCATTCTTAGGAGTACTTGTACCCCTGTATATTACGGTCCCTTAGGAAATCGTCCAACAGTTTCTTGAACAATTCCACACTCTTAGCTGAAATCCCCACCTGTGGCAGTGAGTTCCAGACCCTAACCGCTCTAACTGTGAAGAACCCCCTTCGCCCCTTGTGCTGGAATTTTTTTTCCACCAATTTTAGGTGGTGGCCTCTAGTTTTTGTAATGGAACTCTACCCAAAAGCACAAAAAAGTGAGATTCCCCCTTCACAACAGAGCACCCCCTTCAAATCAGGAGCCCTCCTTGCACATCAGAGCCTCCACACACATCAGAAGCCCTCCTTTACATTAGAGCCCCCTCCTTTCACATCAGAGTGCCCTCTTCACATTAGGAGCCCCCCCTCCACACACATCAGAAGAACTCCATTACACTAGAGCTTGAATATTGGAACTACCGTAGCCCTCCGCCAATCACATGGTACCCTACCAGTCACTAAGGATTCCTTAGCGTCCCCACTTCACATCTCAAGCCCCACTTCACATCAAAAGTCCTCCTTCACATAACAGTTCCCCCTTTACATTAAAGGCCCCATTTCATACAGTCCCCTCCTTTCCAATCAGAGTTCTTCCCTTCACATTAGAACCCCCCTTTACATTAGAAGCCCTCGTCACACGACTTTACATGAGTCCTACCATCACATCAGCATGGCAGGCATGTCCTCCATGTGCTTGTGTGGGGCTCGTCCAGGTTCTCTGGTTTCCTCCTACACGCCAAAGACATGCTGGAACGTTAATGGGCTCCTAGTCAAGACTGACATCTACCCATCATGGAGTTTTGTTCATTGTATAACTCCTTCTAAAAGCCAGCCCACTGCTTGCATCAGGGCTCCTGAGAGGAGCACTGAGGCAGGGGACTGTGATGTTTAAGTCAAATTGAGCCACTTACACTGCTTGTATTTAAAAAAGTAAATTTAATGATTTATTAATGAATACAAAGTGTCAATACATTTGTGCCTTGTATATCTGCCTGAAGTTCAGCTTTAAACTGACCTTAAATGAATATCTCAAAACATTTAAAGACTATAAATCCTCTTTGAAGATTTAAGCTGGCCATACACCTTATAATTATCTGCAGAGTTTCTGTGGTCAGATGGAAAAGGTGGAACAGATTCCTCTATCTACACTTAACTGTGTGGCTGGAGTAATCTCCACCTGGACTAATCTGTTGCACTTTTTCCATCTGACCACAGAAAATCTGCAGATAATTGTAAGGTGTATGGTCACCTAAAGGGGGGATTCCTAAAAATTGGAGCAGACAAAATAGTAGCTGCCCATGACAACCAATCAGCGTCTCTGTTTTATTTTCACAGCTTAACTGAACAAACTGAAGAGAGAAGCTGATAGGTTGCCATAAGAAAACTGTCTGCTCCAGTTTTTATGAATTCCCTCCACTGTCACCAATAAAAGAGACCTTGCACATGCAGCAGTTCACCAACAGGATGAAGTAGTAGGTTTCAACCAAGTTTGTCAGTGTTCGGATTAACGATGCAGTGTAATACAAAATGTAGTCCTGGTAAGACGATGATAAACAATTATCTGCAGTGTGCCTAAAAGGGTGCAGAAAGCCAACGACTGCATGTAGTTTCTTACACAAGTGGGAGAGATTTAAACAAAACCTGCCAAAACTAATATTGCATGACTTTAAAAAGCAATGCTCTAAATCAGGGCTGAAAATGTCAGGCCCTGAGCTACTAGGCAGGCCTTAAGAGAAACTCGCCACCAGTGGAGGAAAAACTGCAGGTGGCCGGAGTGAAGGGAAGACAGCCGAACTGATACTTCTCCTCCTCCTCGGCCAATAGTTTCACCCCTGCTGGTCCTGCCAGCGGCACCCCTTGCCCAGATGAATTTCCACTCGCCCTCACACAATTTTCACTCGCCAATTGCGAGGGGTCGAGTGGAGATTTTGAGCCCTGCTCTAAATGCTCTGCTCTAAAACGCTGATTTTGTCTCACTTGTGGTGTATGTTTGGCTACTTATTACAATGGTGTTTAGCGTGTATGAGCGGGTGTCAGAGATTTCGAATACTTACTGCTTCTTCAGCTGGCTAAGTGACTTTTTCTCAGTTTCATGGTGGTAACCCATGTTCTTCCTTATACTGGCCATAAACAGCTCAAAACCCCTGCAATGGAACACAGCGAGTTAATATATAGTAATTCCACATAAAATGTATGATTTATAGAACTGATTTGAACCCTGACCATCTGCCCAGGTCATAAGACCCCCTCCAGGAGTAATGGCACCAAAAATGGACACATGAACAGCCTCTTCCAAGAGGCTTGGAAGTACCTTTTTTCTGCAATACACGACGCACGGCTGTTGTAGCCGTGACCGTGTTCAGGAGGCGGGGTGGAATCGTAGCGGGAAAGCGCGTGATCCGCCCGGCGAGACTGGGGTGCCATTGAGAAATAATGGCACCTACAGCGCGATCAGTGTACACCAATACGACTCCTTACCGCGGGGCAATCCGCCCGGAATCGTGCACGGATGCCGCACGGTACGGTGTCTCATAGTTGTGCACCGGCCTTAAAAAGTTATAAACCATTCCCCACTTTATCCAAAATTAAAAAGATGATACAAACTTTTGAAAACAAAAATTTATCTAATTTCTGTATCACTCAGCTGTAGATCCTCAAATCATCTCAAAATTGGTCCTTCCTTCTGGAGGGTGACTACGTTTGTTCCCCATGGTCCCTGTGTGTGTTGTAAAGTAGTCACCCCTCCAAGCTCACTCCTGTGATAGACTACAATCTCAATACAAATTAGTAAACTAAACGTGAGATTGTAGTCTATCCCGGTCATTTCTCTAGCTTGGAGCGGTGGCTAATTTACAACACACACAGGGACCATGGGGAACAAAAGTAGCCACCCTCCTGAAGGAGGGACAGTGTCAGCACCAATTCAGAGATGATTTGAGGACCTACAGCCGAGTGATACACAAATAAGATACATTTTTGTTAATAGTTCAGGTACTTGAATGCATTTTTAAGATTCAAAGCCTGAGTTTACTGTTACTTTAAGGCCTGGTTCACACCTAGGTGACAGCGTTTCTGCGCGTTTGTGATGCACGTTTGAGCTTTTTTGCGCGTTTTATGTGCGTACAGAAAACAAAAGTGTTTTTGTGAGCAGATTGTAGCTCATTGATGTTAATGAGAAAAAGTGCATAAAAACACAGCAAACGAGCGGTTTCAAGCGTACTCCTGTCAGTTTCAGGATGACAGCGGCTGTGTGCGTGGCTCCTGTACTTTTTCCAGTGACATGCGTTTTGCTTATTGCGACAAAACGCTCAGATGCGAACAGGGCCATAGAAATGAATGGGATTTTTTGGGGTGGCAGAAAAAGCGCTACGAAACGCTCAGTGTGAACCAGGACCTGCGTAACCTCTAACTCTTACCCCGGACACGAACAATTGAGGGACTTTAGAGCAGTATCTGCCAGTAACAATCGATACAACAGTATTCTTTGTACAATCACAAAGCTTCTGCCTTCTTTAATACCACAGAAAGAATATTTTATTGGAAGCTTTGTGCAAATAACAGGTACTCTTTAAGAAAATATTTAAACACACATTGTAAAACTACCACACCTAGGTTTTTTTTTTACTGATTTCAGGATGTACTCTAGGATATCCCTGTTTGAACATCCTATGAAAGTGTATCATGTTCTCTAGCAGTGTAGGATTAACTGTGAGAAAAACAGACCTGGAAGTTTGCAGGGCAGCAGCACGAAGGTCACAGACCACATGCAGGAAGTAGGAGCTGAGAAAGATTCTTCTCTGCAGCAGGAGGAAGAAAAAACAGATGCCATCCCAAATTATGCCAGCTTCTTCCACGGGCAGAGGACATTCGTGGCCCTTGTCCACTTCAAGAGCTGATGTAATAAAGAGAAAGAATGCATTATTAGAGCGCATGGCAAGTAAATGCACATAAATGGTGTACAATTAATAGCCCTTTGCAACAAGGATGTTGTATTTTAAAATACACTTTACAGCATTCATTTGAACATCATTTAGTAGGGTCACATGACCGCTGATGCCATGATTAGGTTTCTTCCTCTTGGGGTGATAGGCAGAGTCTACTGAAGAGGGGAGAAGATAATAGCGCTATTATAGCAGAGGCAGTGTCTGTGGCCAAGAATGCCTCTAGAGTGCTGGATTCACACGTGATGACATCATTAACTCACATGAATGTAGAGATTCATTGGAGGGCTAACAACGGAACTTCCTATTTAGTGGGGATGAGTTCCCATTTATGGCCCTCCAGAGAAACTAAGTCGTTATCATAAGCACTGGCAGATCAACAGGTAAGAACTTGGAATAGTGGGAGAACTTTACAATTATATTGTAAATGATTTGATAAGGAAAGAAGCATGGATTTGTGTAATAGTTATTGATTTTCCACTTAAAGCACAACACTGCCAGGTTCACAATTAGAAAATACACTGTATGGCCAAAAGCATGTGGACGCAATATAAGGGCAATATAAATGCTACAGCATACAAAGACATTTTGCAAAACTGTACATTTAACATTCTGGCAACAGTTTGGGGAAGGCCCTCTTCTATTCCACTATGAAAATGTCTCTGTCTCAAAGCCATAAATACATTCACCACGTTCTCCACCTTGGATCCAGTTAAATCTGAGTAGAAAGCGCTTTATGATATACAGTATGTTTTTCCTAATGTGGGTTTGGCTGCACTCTACACATCTTCTGCTGGCAACATGGAGTTGCTCCATACATATTAGTGGACTTTGTTTGACCAGTTCAGAATGTTCTTCACTCGAGGGTTCTGCATAGAGCCCTCACCTCAACCCTAAAATGAATTTGAATATGGATTGTGAGCCAGGTCTTGTCCAACTTCAGTACCTCACTTCACAAATGCTCTTTTGGCTGAAAAGGTACAAATTCCCACAGACTCTCCAAAATCTTGTAGAAGGCCTTCCCAGTAGAGTTAAGGCTAGTTTAGCTGCAAAGGGGTCAATTCCATGTTAAGGTTTTGGTATAGGCTGTCCAACAGCTTTGTAACGAGTAATCATAACTCTTAAAATTATGATGATTGGGTGCAACCCATGCGGATTCATTTAAATAAAGTGCAGTATACATCATGAAGTGGAATTTTTTACTTGATCTAGCCCATACTCACGGTTGTAGTAGCCCTTGACAGTGCATACCAGGCTGAAGAGCTGAATCACCCAGCAGAAATGATTTTGCATTTGCTGAACAAACACACAAGACAAAAGCTGGAAAAAAAAAAAGACATAAAGGGTTACTTGCCAAAAGTACACCAGCACAGATCATGTAGTATAAAACATATACATATTACAAAATAAGACAATCCTCACATGTGGCTAGAGTATAAATGTTCTCCAGGACTGGCCACACTCATACACACAGCAATATTCAGTAAGTTCATCCAGTCTCAAACAGCTTTATGCCAGTAGTAAGTTGCTTTGATCAATCATTTTGGAGATCTAATGCTAACGTCTTGGTTAAGCTCTACCAACTGGCAACCACATGTCCAATGAGAGTGCCCTTACTGGTCATTCAGAGAGCCTCAGTGGACAGCGCTTAGCCATGAAGTCAGGTCCAGTAAAAAGGTAAAACTAATTAAGGGAGGGGCACATAAAAAGCTTACGTGGCTGATAAATATTATAGATATTGGGGGGAATTTATCAAAACTGGAGCAAACAGAATCTGGAGCAGTTGCCCATGGAAACCAATCAGCATCTCTCTTCAGTTTGCTTAGACAGGTTTTCAAAATGAGACACATAAGCTGATTGGCTGCAGTGCAAATCGGCTCCAGATTTTGATAAATTCCCCTCATTGTGTAGCGAGTTTAAAATGTAGTACAGATTCATTTTAAGGGGTCGACAGCCTTCAATGGGCAAATGCAGCATGATTTTGACATTGTTTGACCCTTTAAAAATCATCCAGAATTCACTGCAAATGGTCTGCATTCGACCTGGTTCCGTTGCTTTTGCATTCCCATAGACTTGTATTGGGAGGCAAGCAGTTCTAAAGTAAACAAAAGCTCATCTACCCTGCTTTAGTGACTCTGATGGTTACATCTGTACACTTGATTAGGCCTACACATCTGAAGAGGCCATTCGTAGTAAGTCCCACCCCACTCTCCCTGTTGGATATTTGGTATGGAAAAAAAAAAAAGGAATGGGGATGGATGGGAACAACCAATTGTCCAAGATAGACATAGCCAGGAACTATAGCATGGAGATCTCGTAACTAGAGTCCCCAAGAGATATAAACATGCAGTGATTGACTCCACCAAAATAGCACATTTGTGGTTGGACCTTCCTGTTCATAACCAGACATCTTTATTATTAGTTAATGTGCAACTAAAACAGATTTCACATACACCCAACAAATGTACAAGAAAAGTCTCACCGACAGTAGGTTCTTGGACAGTATAACGGTGATGTTATACATGATCAGACAGTCCCATAAGACTAGCCTTGCCTTCAGTGGCTTCTGGAGAAGAGCTGTGCCAAAAAGAAGGAGGTAAAAGCAGGACATCAAGTAACCTAGGCCAAAAACACTGATCCTAGTGGCGCCCGTGACAAAGACAATGGCCAGGACAAACCAGAAGAGATACCGGAAGACCACCACCTTTAGCATGTCCAAGTATGACCTGTAATGGATAACAGGTGTTATTGATCTCAAATGAAGCCCGGAATAAAAAATATTTCACCTACTCAAACACAAATTACACATGTAGGTCGCTTCTTAAAAAGGTAAGCATGCACCACAAACATTTTAAAGACAGCATGGTGTATTTTCAGTGAGCGCATATTTTGAGTTATTATTGGAAGGTTATTTTTAATTTGCCTTTCACGTTTTTACAAGCATGGTCTTCCATGTTTTTGGGCACTCTCAGTGGCTCATTGCAATAAGTCTTCTCTCAACACTTTCTTAGATAAGGTATCAGCCACAAAGTGCATTTCGTTTGATGAGTCGTCCAAAATTATTTGCATCGTGAGCACTGCAGAAGCAGGAAGAAGAACCTGCCTATAAAACAGGGCTGCCCCCATGAACATACATTTTTTGTGTGGACTGACTCCTTCAAGTCTCATCAATGAAGGACATCTGAAAAGAAAAGACTTACCGGCAGTTGATGAAGTTAGGTACCAGGTTAGGTCTGTTACCAGGAAACTCTATCTGCTCCGCGTTCTCCCCAGCAACTGTGTACCATTCCTCTTTCTTCTCATTCACAAACACCGTCCACTGCTGTGATACACACATCAGCAAGACGAAGTCATCTAAAAGGTACAAGAACCACCTGCATTACTTATGGATATGTCCAGAAAGGAAAGGAGGTATTCAAATGGATTTTGTCCGAACGTCTAAACATGACAAAAAGAACCCTAACCCAAGTGACAGAACCACTTTAACTCCCATTCAATATGTTGTACAGCTTTATCTAATATCATGGCTCACATACTTGGTACTTTCCATTGTAAATGGAACTACAGACAGATAAAGCATCAGTTAATACAGCTATAGCCTAAGTACCTACATTTTTCTGAATATTTTCCTCCTGCAATCCCCCACACAGCACTCTGAGCCAATAAGGGCTCTATTGCTTTGCAGCACAGACCTTAAGTGTGTTGTTTCAATTTTTCATTCAAAGTTGAGTTACATTTTAATAAAAGTTGTCTCCTAAACTAAGGTGCTTTCAGATGGGCAGGTCAACAAGAATGGCAGGAGAAGAGTAATCTTCCTGTTGTCCCAATCATCAGACCTACTAAACGTTTTCTCTACAAGCTCAATCGCATCATGTATTGGCCCAGGTTCAGAGTCAAGAGTGATCCCTCTGCTGCAAAAGGAGCAGCTCCTTAATCCGTTGCAGGTTTTCAAACATAATAAAAAATTAGGGGTGCACTGATACCGGTATTTCGGTACCGAGTACGAGTACCGATACTTTTTTTCCCGGTACTCGCCGATACCGAGGACAGAAGTCCCATTCAGGAAGCCAGGCTGCGTGTAATGACACGCCACCTGGCTTCCTGATTAGCCGGGAAACATGTAAAGACTCGCCACCCGGCTTCCCGATTAGCAAGGAAGCCGTCTCCATGCTTCTCGTCACTACGTGAGGTGACGAGGGAGCATGAAGCCGGCTTCCTGGCCAATCAGACAGCCGGGCGCTGCGTCATTACATGGCGTCCAGCTTCCTGATTGGCCAGCTTCCCGGCCAATCAGGAAGTCGGGCAGCACGTCATTATACGCTGCCCGGCTTCCTGATTGGCCAGCTTCCCGGCCAATCAGGAAGCCGGGCAGTGTGTAATGTTGCACTGCCTGGCTTCCTGATATAGGAAGTAACGGGCTAGGCATCGGAGCATTTGGGCGAGTACGAGTACTCGCCCAAATAATCGGTATCGGCACCGATACTAGTATCAGTATCTGTGCATCCCTATCAAAAATCTCTGAAAGTGACTACAAGCACTTTCCAAACTTGCACTGATAAATGCTAATGGTTGTTTGTACAATGTTTGATTACATCAAGCACAGATTACATTGCCCTGTGCCCCCCTGTACATAAAATATTGCATGTATGGGTGAAAGAATACTACAGTAGTGCTGGGCTAGCACACCAACATAAGTGTCTGAGCAGTCCATTACCAGATTTTGTCATCACATGATCCATGCACACTTACAAATAAGGACGTTGGCATTCGGAGGAGTGAAGAAGTCTGGCAGATACATCCATTTTATCAGAGCTGAATTCACAGGAACAATCTGGTCCCACCTCCAGGGGTATTCTGTCAGTGAGGAACCAGGACATACCGAGTCACTAATTTATCAGCGATAGTCACATCAACAAAAAATCAGGGCAAAGGCCAAAGACCTACCTATACAAAGCACAGGTGGCATGCCCAGACACAGCAGATACTGCCAAAGTAGGAAGAATACCAGAAATACACAGTATTTGGGCCACAATTTGGCAATTTTTTCTCTCTGGCGTCGAGTCAGAATCACGATCAGCCAGCAACCATGGAAGATCACCATAAAGTTCATTCGCTGGCCAATCACGTTCACGGTCAACAGGAAGCAAATCTGATGTAAGATGAGAGTGGTGTGATTGGATGATATCATAGTACTAAAGAAAATCAGAGAACTAATTACTCTAAAACACAAATTAGATTAGTGGCAGACAGATTCCAAAGGGCTCCAGTGCCCAAAAAATGTGTTCCCCATTAGTGCTCCGTTTTTTAACAATGTATATGCGTGTGCTCCTTTCAACGCATCAGGCTCATCTAAAGAAGAACCTGGGAAATCACTGGTGGGGGGAAAAAGAAAAGGAGCGTAATGTTGATACATGTCTTAGGCCCGTTCATGCGATTCCCCTGTATTCCCTTCATGGGTCACCTTGTTCTTTTACCCCGCCATGTGTAGCACCTCTGCTCACTGTCTTTGCTCAAGAAAGATTGCATAAAAGCTTTATTGATAGGTGGCATTAACAAGATTGTTAAAAGAAAAGCTGCTATAATGACTAACTATAATCCTAAATAAAAACTCTTACCCTTGCAATGCTAGAAATGCTTATATAAAAACTAAAAGCTTGCTAGTACCAGGCACCCTCATAATCTATGGGTCATTACCTAATCCTTAAACCTCATTACCTGTTAACTGAAAAGGCCAGACAGCAGCAGTAGAGCTGGAAAAGCTCCCGTTGCAACTTGGGTATCCATGTTATTTTGTTAACAATCAGTCATGGGATGCTAAGGAGGAGGACTGGCCACAAATGTGCCAAGTACTACACAAGTACCTGGGAGTTAGAGGCACGGTGGCACAACAAGAAGTTTGTTTTCACAAAAAAGGTGGAACTTAATTGTAAGTATAATTGATTTTTTAGACAATCTTAGATCCAACTATTGCATATAGGGATTCTTTTTTAGGGGTTGGAAGTCCCCTCATCACCAATGGAAATAATTAATGAAAAGATAACTGTAGCTTTAATTTCATACTTCATGGGTGAAAATAGTTAAAGTATGTATTGCAAGATAGAAGGAATAATCCCTAAATTAGTTCAGAACTGCTGCTAAACACTGGCCTGTACAGGGCTGGTACATAGTGTACATAGCGAGCTATATATGGTGTTGTATATGCTTGTCACTTCTGTAGCGAGATAGCTATGACAGGCCAATGGTGTCTCCTGGTGAATTTGAAAATCCCTTGAACAGACAACCCACATAGATCTGAAGGGTTGTTCAGGTGTGGTGTTAGAACCTGCAGGTACTAGAATGCACATACCAAAACAGATACTGTATGTTCAGCGGTTTAGGGTGAGGCATTCCCACTTAGGCACCAACTGTGGCACTAGAAATTTCGTATGTGATTTTATGCTTCAAATGTTCAGTTTAACGTGTGGGCTGCATCACCAGACCATTACAAATGGGAATAGGTGGGAACTGTTGTAGAGGACAATTCTTCTGCTACTTACCATGCTAATGCATCTAAGCATTCTTTACATTAAGATGTTGCAGACATGTCCTCTTTCCCCTTCCACAGGAGAGAGAGGACTTTCCATTGCAAAGAGGTCGAGATCCATCCTGGAGGCTCCTGGTGCAGAAGGTTTTTTGGATTTTCAAACTCCACTTTAGGATGCCTCTTGCTTTCAATTACAGATATGTGAATGATGATATGACCTCTTTCATAACATGTAAATTATATTTATGATTGGAGGTTATGTTCTATTAGAAACTGAAGTGGTGAATGCATAAATAGTTTCTACATATTTGCTATCATGCTTTATATGTTATTTGTGTACTGTTGTATACTCCTCCCATCTGTGCCTGGTGAGGGTATTTTAGCAATTGTTAGTTAGTATGGAGTTGGCTATGATTAAGGCCACCTAGGCTGAAACGCATTAGCCAATTGCAGTGCGAGCTATATGGACTGTGGATTAAGAGGTTTCTGGGGAATTCAGCAGTGTGCCAATGTGTTTCTTTTGTTTCCTATACATACCCCAGGAAAGGGGGTGTACATGCTGTGCACCACTGGTGAGGAGAATGATGAGGCACATGTGCAGGTGAGGCACTCAGTTTACCTTCAGTACTAATAGGCATCTACTGGTTGCAGAAAATGATTGAAGGGTTACAAGTTACTGGACACAGATTATGCCCCAATATTTAGCTCTACGTAGAAGCTGGCCCCTACCAGAACTGTATGAATTGCTGGAGGATGTAAACACTATACTGTAGCTCTACAGGCCAGGCAGTGGTAAGTCACAATTCCTTACAGGATATGTACAGGACTATACTTACTATTTTACAATACAAAACAACTTGGTTTTGATTGGAAAAAAAAAGTACCCTTTAAATTTGTTAAAGTACTCACCTCCAGGCCAAACTTGTAGTAAAAGTAGTTTATAAAATACTTGATGCAGCTTAAGAGACCTTCATCGAGGTGTTGCCGCCAAATCTCTGGAAACAGGGTATGGTTGTGAGGCACCTCCAACCGATAATACTTGCGGTAGAATGTCTGGTGACGGTGAACTATGGCTTCAAACACCAGCAGAACAAGGACCTGCAGGTGATTCTAAAGGGGTACAACAGACCATTTATTCAGCAACAGTATCTCTTCAGAAGGCCTAACACGTCAGCTGCATGATTAGCTGGCTAATTCTACAAAGCATTGTCATCATGTGCTGAGTGCAGCAAGTCATAGCAACCAGTGCAAAGTTATTGCAGAATACTGCTTAATCAAACCAATGAAGAAACATTTTGATTGGCTGGTATGCAGTACATTTTGCCTAATGAAATAAGACAAAACTGTTATTCCAGCTGGATGTAAGAAAGTTCAAAGTATAGGTGGGCATTTTTTAGGTCAGACTTAAAATAGGACATGTTGAAAAATATTGATGACCATTTCTGATAGGGTAATACAGTGTGATGTAATCAATGTTTTGGCTCTTTTTGAGTGGTAACTTAGAAATGCAAGGCAGAAGTGTGCTAACATACACCACACAATGTCTGCCCATAACTTCCTAGTACTTCTAAATATGGGGGTACATGTGACACTCCACAAGTTCTGATTATCCAGCTTTCATTGATTAAGTGGCCGGTCCCCAGGTCCAAGCACTGTCATATGAGAGCCAGAGAACTGGAGGTGGGCGTGATTAGTCCCATGTAACTATTAAATTTAATCATGTTTATAATGTCATATGAATTTCAAAAGGCATCCAGAGATGGATCTGGTTGTGAGAGAACTCAGGAAAGCTAAGAGCAGACAAATTAAGGTGCCACTGAATACAATGCTGCCTTACGTTTAGAAGCACAATCTTGTGTTCAGTACAGGGCCAATTTAAAGTGAACACATCTCCAATTTAAAAAAAAAAATAAAACGCAAGCACAGCCTTCTGAGAAAATGCTTAAAACGTAACTGTTTACTGGTGTACATCTGCTTTAATCAATTAGGTCTCTTTCACCCGGGCAGTCTGATCAGGTCCGCCTGAAAAACTGATACAAGCGTCCATTTACACCCGCCTACAGCCAGGTCCAGAAAAACAAACAAAACAGTGTTCTGTTTCACCGGACCTGATCGTGCCAGATCAGGGGTAATCTGATGTAAGAGGACGCATGCCCGTTTACATCTGATTCCCCATAGACCGACATTGGGGTCTGGTAGTTTTAGTTCTCTCAAAAAAAAAATTTAAAAAAATGGACAGACACAGATGTCACAGTGATGACATCAGATGCACTCTGTTCCAATCAGGAGGGAATCCATGCACGGATCCCCTCTTTATCGGACTGTGTGAAAGGAGCCTTAGAGGTCTGCCATGTGCTGATTTGGCTTTTAAAAAAATTGGTGATCAGAATTTTTATTCATATTTAGTAGTTTTTTTTTTTGGTTATCATTCAGTTGACTGATTTTCACTACTGTTAAATACTTTTATGGGGTGACCACTGTCTCCCAAAAGTACAGATCAGAGAAATTGGCCAATAACTCTAAGAGCAGCATTAAATCGAGAGCATCACCTGTAATTATCTAACCATCTAGAACCAATCTATGGAGACCTTTACATTCAGTAGATGTTTTATGAATATAAAAACAGGGGGCTCCTGTGTACCTGAATGTATCCCAAGTTGGAATGACCTTTCCGGATTCCAAACCAATTGGCAGGATCAATTGGTGACTGGTACAATGTTGAATTCTGGATTTCTTCCTCCAGGAGGTTGGTGCCATTAGGAAAAGGCTGAAATAGGACAGATACTAGTAAAAGGCATTTCTTATCAATTTAGTCACAAGAAAAGATCATTGCCATCTATTTATTAACAGCGGTAGGGAGAACAATGGCCCTATGACAGCTATAGGTCCTACCTGTGACTTTGGTTCAGACATGCTTATTGCTTTACTCACTACCCCAAAGAAACAACCATAGCAAAAACGTAGCCGTTGCCTCTGGTAAGCAGTCGGGAATCTGTGTGGTGTCTGCAGGCAACAGACAAACTTTCACATCAGTTTTCATTACTCGGCCCCCGATAGGTTTACCTGCTGTACACTTTTTCATGTTTACATTTGTTTTATAGAGTAAAGCAGGATATACAGGCTTCACATTTCATCAGGAACTGGCCACAATTCGCCACGTGGATGCCACTCTTGGCAGCCTTCTGCCTGGCATCCTCGATCAGCTGATCGAAGGAGCAGGTCTGAAAATTCCCGGCCGAATGGGGCTAGCAGCCAATCAGCTCCTTGGTCCGTTCGGGAACTGTCAGAGTACAAACAAAACAGCGGGAGATTTGTGCATCAATACTCCTAAGTGTTGATGGAGGAATCTGTTCTATTTTTCTTTCAGCCCGCAGGTTGAACAAAAAATAAGATAGAACCATGTATACCTGGCTTTAGCTACATATAAAAACTTAGAAACAGAAATTTATCATAAACAGGATGTTGCAGAACTGGACAAAGTGCAGAGAAGGAGAAAAAAAATAATCAGGGATATGAGGAAAGGTTAACTGATGTGAACTTATTCTCCCAAATGCAGACCAGATCTGCATGAGTTTCTGCACGCGCAGTGCAGTGTGTTTTTCCCCGCATTTTTGCAGCGTTCAGGGCTGTTTTTGCTTTTTCGTTTTAAATGGGCTTTCAGTGCGTTCCAGGGTGTTTGCATGCGTTTTTGATGCGTTTGAGTACGTTCCAGAGCAGGTAAAATAGAGCTTGCTGCAGTTTTTTTACATGCTCTGGAACTGAACGCTGAGGTGTGAACTAGAGTCCAAAATAACATTGGAATACATTGGACGCAGTTTTGATCCGGTCTGTAACTGCTCTGCTCTTGGAACGCGCTTGGTGTGACCTAGTTCTGAGAAGAGGTGATTAAGGACTCCTTTTGCATACACTGAAAGCCTTCTTTACAGTAAGAGCTGTGAAAATGTTGAATACACTTTCTCAGGTGCCAGTTCTAGACAATTCTGTCATTTGAAAACTTGATTTGTTCCTAAATGCCCATAATATCAGGATACTAATACACGTAATAAGATAGTAGATGGTTTATCTACAGGAGTATATGATTACATCTGTGGGCAATAATTTTTCCTTAATGGATCAAATTGAAGCATGCTTTAGAAGGTTTTTTTTAACCTTCCTCTGGATCAGCTTTGGGTTTAAAGTGATATTAAAAAGGCAAAAATGTTTTTCCCTCCCCCCATGTAAATGTTAGCACTTACCTTAAACGATGTCTCTTTTTCCGATCTTCCTCTTCTTTCCCCATGTTTTCATGTGTCCCTCCAGCGGTGTGACGTCACTCCGATCCAGCGCTGACTGCTCTGTCTCTCCGATCCAGCGGTGTCTGCAGGCGGGTGCACGCGTCCATAGACTTACCTTGCATCTCTGCTCGTCTCCCGGCCGACAATCCGAACTGCGCATGCCCCCGCTCCAAGATCCTTTGCGGCCGTACGAGCAGTTCCTGATTCTCGGCGCGGGAGCGAGCAGCGATAACGAGGCAAGAATAAAATGATTTTAAGCGGTTTTTTTTTTTACACTTCTTGCCTATATCTACTGCATGCTAGCAGTAGATATAAGCAAAAAAAAACCCGGAGGGTTTAGAACCCCTTTAAGTGTTCTGAGGAAGCAGATTTTTAGTTTGTTGTCTTCTGTGATGTTGTGTCTTTTTATTTTATAGAACCTGCATCTTTCTACTAGGGCTGAGTGTTGGGGGGTTATGTATGGTATCTTTCTCTTGGAGAATCAAGGCTGTGACACACTACACACGAAGCAGCGTGGAGCGCCAGTGCGTGGACCTTCGCGTGCAGTGTGTCATGTAATTTGCCAGCTCGCATAGCTGAGCGTGTCGAGATGCGAAGTCTATTCGGTTGTAACGCGCAAGCCGATTGGCTAAAGATGCCATGTTTGATCTGGCCACTCTCAGCTCACACACTGCATGCGAATGTCCCTGCCTTGCAGTTTTGCTTTTCTCAGCATGTGGCGCATGCAGTATGTCACGGGCTTAACCCTCCCATTATGCATTACCCATGATTGAGCAGTTTGTAGACGCAGGCATTTACAGTGTAGAAACAGTTTTAAGCATGCCATGCCCTTTTCCTACATTGTGAAGTCCTGTATCCAAATAAAGATTGTATTGCAGCCTTTTGGGACTCTGTTTAATAGCAGGCAGACGTGGGAACTCCTCCTGTTACTGGTGTGCACATTTATTACTTGAAAGACACATGTGCAGATCAGATTTGAATAATAAACAGATATCCGAATTTATATATCTTTTATACCTCAGTGATTAGATGAGCGTGTCTTTTTATGTGCCTGTCACGTTTGAATCTTAGTCAATATTTTGTGACTTATCAGAGCAGATCAGCTGACACCTACATTTACAATGGTTTCTTTTAACTCCTTATAAATACTTCTGAGAAAGAAAATGTAAACATAGAAAATCGTTTTATGTCTTCTCATCCTTTTTATCTTACATTTCCCGAAGTGAACTTTTAATCTTGATTACGAATCAATGGCTTAATTCTTCTGATAGGCTGAACAAAAATAGTTGTAACTTTTCAAATATTTTATATTTTATGAACAGCACAGAGAGGGCATGCTACCAGAGGAAAAGTAATGTTCTGACGCCAAAGTGATGCTGTACCACCAGACCGAAATGCCCAGAAGTGTATCTACTATAAAAAAAGCACCTATGGCATCCAGCCAGCTCCTGGCAAC